ATTGCAATCATTCAAATCTAGGAGAGCAGTCCTCCTTATTGGATAACAGTCATCCAGTCATTTCATTTCAGTATGCATGCACATTGTACACTGGTTAACAGTCAACCTTTGTGTACTATTCTGTCCATATTTCACGATCAAAGCATGCAAATGAACATATCAATATAGTGTTAAAGTGACTTAATTACGAAGCATCCAATCCCAGTGCTATAGCATTACTGATTAATTTGTAAATACTCTTACTCCTTATTGGATAGCAGTTATCCAATCATTTCATTTCAGTATGCAATATTGCATGCACATTGTACACTGGTTAGCTGGTTAGCTGTCAACCTTTGTGTACTATTATGTCCATATTTCACTATCAAAACATGCAAATGAACATATACATACATCTGTATGGTGTTACAATGACTTAATTACGAAGCATCCAGTTGCGGTGCTATAAAATTACTAAATGTTAGCAGCAAATACGTTATTTTTATCAGAACATGAACTTTTTTTTTTTTTTTAAATTTTTTTTTTTTTTTTTTTTTTTAATATCTTTCACAAACCACAAGAACTTTCATTTTTTGTCGATCAAAGACGACCAAAAAGCTGCTGAATTCCATTTCGGAACGAATAAGGCGCCATATACACTGTAGAACCGTAATTTAATACATGTAAATGTTTTAGTGACCTCCCTATCAAATTAATAAATGGGAGGAACAATCCAAATCCTGTGACCAGTCGAAAGAAAATGCGTCGAATGCGCTTGTTCCATGGATCCTAAACAAAGAAAAAATTGTTTATTTACTTATTTTTTATTTTATTTTATTATTTTTTTTTTTGGACATTTTTTCAATTCGCAAAGAGATATCGCAAATATAACGTCCCCAAACCTTATTGAAAAATGCAACAATATAATTGCTTATGCGCCAAGCGACAAAGTTTGCTTCCACTTTTTGCTCTCGTGAAACCCAACCTACAGAAAAAGTGAATATAGTAAAAACAAAAGATAATAAATCCGAATTCATTGTGCCGATCTGCGAAATTCTACATGTAACATGTTTTGATTGTGTATATGTAGTTTTACAAGTTTTATCTAAAAAAAACCCAAAAATTTTCACGAACATTTCAACAGGTTGGGACCAATCGCCCAAATGGGATATAATAGTCCGTTTGGGATATAATATCCCAAACGGACTATAAATTTACAGTGCAAAAATTGAAAAATTTTATTTTGGCAATAAATATCATAAATCCGCATCAGGACATTTAAAAAGGAATAACTTTTGGTAAGCAAGTTTTTCTGCAACCCTACCGTTTGTTAGATTGATCCCCAAGAAGTTGAGGAACTTCCGAGGGATCAATCTCCTAAATAATGGGCATACAGGAAAACTTGTCAACCAAAAGTTGTTCCTTTTTAAGTGTCCTGATGCGGATTTGTGATATTTATAGCCAAAATAAAATTTTTCAATTTTTGCACTGTAAATTTATAGTCCGTTTGGGATATTATATCCCAAACGGACTATTATATCCCATTTGGGCAATTGGTCCCAACCTGTTCAACTGTTTTATTAAGTTCTCTAAAAGTTGAACTTCGAACTCTCTCTGGTTCGGCCCACATAACATGCAAAACTTTCTTAGTCGAATCTAACATCACTCCACCCCCATCAAAATCACTAGCATCAGTAAAAACAATGCGTTCCGTATGCGATACCGTGGGGAAATAACCCTGGCGGGAATATATATAGGCTCTAGCTCACACTTTACGAGCAGTGGAATTCTAATATTTTCATCCCAACATGATGCATTAGCAATAAACATTGACAGTTTGTTTGTTTGTTTTTTAATATCATTATCTTGCTATACAAAACTTTCTTATTTATGTCGAGGGATACCAATAAAACCGACTTCTTAAATCCACTCAAAACTGAACCATTCTAACTTTGCATAGGACTCTTACTTGTAGCATCAATAATAAGAAAACCGGCATGCAACAAATCTTTCTGAATATTCTGTAAAAATAAAATACAGTTTTGTTTGGAATCGCAATCCCAGCCATCGTCTAAATACATTAAAACTCCATATGCTTTAGCTCTCCAATACAATTCTAGTGGTCTAAATACTTTAGTAAAATATAACCAGCACTATTGAGACCGAAGGGTAGGACTGTGAATACGAAATAACGCTTTGAGCCATTGAAGTTCCAGGTTAAATTTACATGATGTTAAACACTTGTTAAATAAAATTTGATCATGAATAAACCTTTTTGGCAAAATTGAGATCCTCTGAAGACCCCTCGAATTTGAAAATTTCTCTTTAAAACGCATGCATTCACTTGTCAAAAATCAACAATCAACCTTTGCTTTTTATTCAATGGCGCCGAAACGGTCAGTGGATTAACAAAATTGGCGGTTCAATTCATTCGATGGCTAACTCTTCTCATCAATTCTAAAATGTACATGTACGTTTCAATAACGGGGGAGGGGGCGCTCTGCAATATTGATTTATACAACTTTAGAATATGATATAAATTCTATACTCTAACCAAATTTGATAACATTTAAAATATTATTGTTTTGTTTTATAGCATTCTTATAATTCAAGAGATTTTTTTTTTTTTAAAACGATCTTAAACTGAAACAATTGAATTTTCAGCAGACACTGTCAAAGTCAGATTTATAGTCTTATAAATGACTATTATACTCAACTTCATTCTGAACCTCGCAATCTCTCCTCGTTGAGCTGAAACTGCTGTTTAATAAACTGACAGCGTCAATGACATCAAAATCCTGTCCAGAATTGAAGCTTGTCTCTGTACGTTGTTTTTAAGGAATATCTCTTTTAGAAGTTGAACTTGAAAATAAAACTCTGTAATCTAAACATGCCAAAGACACAAAACAACCTGCGATTCTTTGTAACGAACGTCGCATTAATCGAACATTCCCTGGTTAAAGTATTTATAGTGAGCGCTAAATCGCTCGTGCATGAAAAACCAGTTTCTTAAGAAACGAAGTTTCACGGAGAATACCGAAGTAAAAACGTAAAGAAATAAATGACCTCCCGGGGGGTAAGGTGGGGCCACAATCGGTAATCAAAATTTAACATAGGAATACGTAGGGAAATCTTTAAAAATCTTCTCCAGGACAGCAAAGCCATGATTGGTCATATTATTTGTAAGTATCTTCAAGTAGTGTAAATTCAACTTTGTACTGTACATGTGAAAAATCTTCAAAATTCTTTTTTTTTTCCCAGAATAGCAAATCTATGATTTGTCATTTTCATAATATGGAAGCATTTTCATTAGCTGTAGATATAAGTTCTTTCTAATCATGACCCCGTGGTGTAGGATAGGGCCACAATGGACAAGCAAAGTTTAAAATAGGAGTATATAGGAAAAATCTCAAAAGATATTCTTCTCAAGAATAGCAAAGCCATGGTTGGTAATATTTATATGGAAGCATCCTCAGATAATGTAGATTGAGGTTCGTTCAAATCATGACCCTCATGGGTAGGGTGGGACCACAATGAAAGTTTAAACTTGTAGGGAAAAAAGTAAAAAAAAAAATTGTAAGCATCCTTAATGTAGTTTTAATTTTTTTCAAGTCATGTATGGGACCACTTTTGCATTATAGCTTAATTTTTAATAAACTGATTTTTGCTTTTTCCTAGCCACAATGCTCTTGTGAGCGATGCGGCCTTTGGATCTCTTGTTTAAAAGTAGGTCAAACTCTAAAGCCAAGGTCAAATTTGGTGGTACCGAATGAAAGATCTCGTCCAAATTAATACACATGTGAGGGCCCTAGCATTAACTATTCATAAGTTATGGCCAGAGTCAAAGTTCGGTACTTTTGTGAAAGTTGGTCAAACTCGAAGGTCAAGGCTAAGAGGTTAAATTTGGTGGTGCAGAAAGGAAGGTCTTCTCACAAGGAATGCGTCCTGAAATATGAAAGCCATAACCCCAAACACTCAAAAAGTATGGCAGTGTTAACGTTTTCGCGGATAAACAGACAAACGAACGACCAGGACAAAATCTAAACACCCCTGAGTCTTCGATTACGTGGGCATGAAAATTGGTAAAACGAAAACAATGCTGAATAAAATCAACTACGTATGCTTTATTTATTTATTTATTGACAACTAATAAAATATTTAGATTAATTTAGTACAGTGTACTTGCAATTTATTGTTATCATGACGAATAGACCACTGCGGTTTCCTCGCCGTATCTATCAGAGTTATTAATACATAGGGTGTTAACATTTTCACGTATTTACATATGTTCATTCAAAATTGTCTCAAGAACACTTAAACATTGTTTGGTTAATATGAAGTAATTTATGTCTTAACATAGGACAATGATTTGAGAGGGAAATGCATAATTCAATTTCAATTAATTTTTATAAATTTTTTCAGAGCATAATCGTTTCATCCCACTTTTTAGTAACGAGGAGGAATAGATATTTCAGAGGATATATTATTTTTTTAACATATATCGTTTTTTTTTTTTTTAGGGTAACGAATCTTTAAAAGGGCTGGGGGTTGTGTCCATTTTAAGAGCTCCATATAAAGATATAACAAAATGATCAAATCTTAAAACAAAAGGTGTGGAATTTTTCTCTGCCAAATGATAGTTGACAGCTTTAGATATTTCTAGAAAATTAAGTTATAACTGATGGTTAATTTGTTGACCCCCGTCTCCTTACCTGAAGACATATCTTGAAATTTGATTTCAACATAAAGAGACTGATATTACATATAGCTCCTATAGTTACTCACAAATGATATAATATATTTTCTATTTTCAGGGAAAAAGTAAAGAGTTGTATTATTTGCAAAAAAGATGCTTTAGCGTTAGAAATATTGAAATAGGAATTCTTTTTGAGAAATATTAAACATCGTGTATTGCAGTTCGATCATTTTGACTGCATGGCTGCATTTAATTTTAACATCCGCTCCTGTAGTGGACATTGCACTTTCAAGTTGACCCTTCCAGGGACATATTCCTGACTTTCTATCCTGAATGTATCACCGCAACATTAAATATTTGGCGTGTTATCAATTTCATTATCTTAATTATTAATTGAACAGCACTTCCCATTCCAGTCAAAAACACACCGGGTGGTGACAAAACCCTTAAAATATGCAAGGATTAATTTTAATATCAATGGATTATATCATGTGGAATTCTTTCCTGGTCTATTAATGTTTTGATATCTATTTTTAACATGCCACCCTAGGTACGTACCCTGTCGTCATTTGAGGAAATTTTTATAAATATACCCGATAAAGAGCTGGCGATTTGATAAACTTGTGTTTTTATTTTGAGAGATCGCCCCAGTTTAAAGACAGCAAGTGATGTCAGGCGAGGAATTCACCTGAGTCACAATCTTTTATCTCACCTGTGGAAATACTAAAAGCAGAACGAGAGAGAATTTATTATTCAGACCTATACACCATCAAGTAAAAGTATATTCTGTACAGTGCCATGTTTTATGGGAAGATAGAAGATAGCTGAGAAAAGGAGATTTCTGTTTCGAAACCCAATGCCAGGTATACTATGACGTAAATTGAATTTTAAAGGAATAGAATGACTAACGTTTAAAAATAATTAAAGGGGTATTTACAATATTGGGTAACGTTGGTTCCATTGATATCATGTTAGAGGTAAATTTCATTTGCTTTTATATTATTATACATTTCATATTCAGTTTACTATGAACTAAGACCAGAGATCTCTCGTTGTTCAATAAATCACCAATTTTAAATAATTTGCTGGAGTGTAATTTTAACCTATATTGTAAACCCCCGATATAAATAAGAGATCAAAAAATATTTGAGATTGGGTTAAATTAAATCAGTACATGTTATAAACATTGACTATTTTATTATTCAAAAAAAGATAGAGTTGGCCTGTTATTTTAGATCTTCATTATTTTGTTAAATGATCAAATAATCATTATGGTTGCATGTAAAATGACGCCATGTTTTTTCGTCATGGTCCAGTAGAGCTCAATGTCAACATTGGCTAGCATTACCTGTACAATGACTCAAGACTTTAACTATATAAATATATCCTTGTGCAATTCCAAAGCAAGATATTAAAACCAAGTTTTTTCAGATTACTTCATTTCAAAATGTACCATGATACATGTAACTTCGAATTACTGTCTAAGTTGGTAAAAGAAATTGTATATGTAAAGTAAATTTTGAAAAGCGTTCTATTTATATACACATAGTCTTCTGCACTTATAACCTTTACTTAGTTTTTGACTTGAAAAATTGTTATTTATATTATATAAAGTTTATATATAGCAGGGATAAGAGGTCAGGAAGTGATATTTTACAGAAAGAATTTCAAACATTTTACAATTACTTTACATGTATTTACTTTTTTCCTCCTTAGAAAACACAATGCCACAGCGAATTGTACAGAGACGACCTACTATACCAATGAGGAAAGAGGACGAAAAAAGACTGCCTGAAATAGAAAAGCTAGTCCCTCTACCAAAAATGGCCGAATCCCCCGGAAGTGACGGACGCGCAGACTATACTCTAAAGCGATCAGACAGCTACAAAAGAGCCATATCAAAAGAAAATAGAATATCTGTGTTATTTGGACAAGATAGTGACTTTCACAAGAAAGATTACGATAAAGAGAAATACAGGACACTTCCCTCTCAGATTGGGACTGTTAGACTGACCAGCCGGACTACTTCCGGTCATCGACGAAATTCGTCATTGTCGCACGTGATCTTTCGCCAAGAGTCCGGAATTCTGCCGTCCCCCGACACGGACGAAGATCAAAGAAGTTCTGGATCCACCAGAAAGAGAAAGAGTCGTTTTCAACAAGCCAAAGAGCGAATTTTTCACAGCTTTCAGAAGCAGACGATCACCGACGAGGAACGGCGCCAAAAGAGAAAAGAGAAGCAAGACAAGCAGAAGAAAGCGAAAATCAGAAAAAAGAAAATGAAGTCTTCTTCTCTCGAAGTTATTCAGGAACATTTTGTTGAACCTATTCCCAAAAGTCGGCTAAAACGTATATTTTCCTTTCGGAAATCTCACAAAGTATACGATGGTAAGTCTGTTTTATGTACTTTTAAGATTTAATATTCTTTGTTCTTACAGTGTTTTGGTGTAAAATATTTTAATATTAGACTTTAACATTCCCTTTATAACTTCTCTACAAAGATGAAATTGTCTCCATAGAATTTTTCAAATATTGCAATTGGAAATATGATTGATATACTTTTTGGAACCCTTTTTTGGATTCTTTCTGAAAAGAAAACAAAGATAACATATTTTAAAAAATCGACATTGGTTCTGAATCTCACAGGGCTTTGAAAGTGAAGCATACCCAACATTGTCATTTTTTTTTAAAAAAGTTGATTCCTTATCTTTGACATAGAGATGCTGTAAAAAAAAAGTTATTTCTCCAGCATCCTAAACCTGACAGGCATATACCTCATTTAAGAAAAAATAGTTAAATATGAAAAAACAAAAAAACCCCAAAAAAAACTGTATTTTCTTTTCAAAAATTTTGCGGGATGTTGTAATAGTTTTCTGAACTCCTATTGATATTTTTAAACATAAAAACCCAGCACACATACAAGGCATTTTTATATAGAAATGGCCAGTGCATGATTCGACTGATTTTTTGAACACCACCTGCTACTAGTATAGTCGACATCAATTATTTTTCTTACATTCTAGAATAAATATTTCAGCTCCAGTAATTTTAGTTATTGTAATTAAGCGAAGAAAAAAGAAGCACATGTATATCGATTTCATATTTTATTATTTGATGCTGATCTGATATAACTATTCACAAAATCGGAATAGAATGGTGATTCCCTGAAAATTTTACAGCTGATGATTCATTTGGCACAATATATATACAACCGAATTACTATATTGATGTTAGTCGGACACAGTAAGGTGTCGTCCATTGATCGAAGTACATTATTCATAAAATAATCGGATGAGCTACTAAACTGTGCACCGATTATAATGGGATTAACACCGAAAAAAATCTCTTAACAATACCCCTGACTCTAATTTATAATCTCGTTATTTAAGTTGACAACAATCACTTTATGACGAATAACTTTTTTCCTCCCCAGAGAAAACATTAATGACATCAGCTTTTAATTCTGAGTTGGTTGTATACTGCGAAGTGTTTTATGTACTCATTGTTGTCATCTCTTATGCACATGTTACCGTCAGTGCACTTTAGGCGTTTGCGGTTTTAGAATTACCGGTTTTTATGATCCTGCAGAACATATTGCAACATAGAACGAAACGAAGGGTCATTCGTGGTCACTTATAGATTAACAACACCGTGTTAGATTGTTGAACATGTTTTAAATTTTATTGACCACAGGAAAATCTGTGGCATCTATTATTAAAAATTTGTAATTGTGTTTACAAACTGTATAGTGTTTGTTTTGGTCAGTCTTCGTTTTTAAATATAACACTTGTTTTTCAATTAGATTTTCAAAGATAATGAATCTAGAATAAATAGACCGTCTTTCAAAGAGGTACTAGTATATGACGTATTTTAGAGCTTTATTTTATTTAAATTTTTTAAAGTAAATAAAAAAACATTCTTGTTTTGGATTCTTTAAATCAGACTTTTATGTAAATTAATACCAAGGTATATATTTCATAAAATGTTGAACATTTTATGACCGTAAGTCCATTTTGTAGATCATAGTGTCAAGCCCCCTGACCTATCATTCCCTCAAAAAAATTGTTCTCATGAATTCAATACAGTCCTATAGCTGATCAGGATTAATTGCATTAGCATAGTTTACGGTCGTATATCGCGGTTTCTTCATCACTGATTTCCCCGACAGCCGCTGAATCCGTTAAGTTACTGACTTAACATCGATCTGTTGAGAGCAATGTCCTCTATTCTGCTGGCCAAGAAACGTTCTACTCACTTCTGATGTGCCCGTTAGCACTATACGTTATTGATTTCGTATGTATAGAAATGTAATCCGCGCGGTCACTCAACTTTTACATGTCCTACATATTAGCTAGTAATTAATTGGTCGAAGACGTAGGCTGACATGCGCGAGCATGCATACACTGTAAGCTTATATATATAATCTAAATACAACTCATTTGCATCAGACTGTCGCTTGACAGCCGACTGGTTTTTCTACTTTCACTTCTTTCATATCAGAAGTGATAAAGTCATTATTTGTATATATACGTGCGCTATCGTGTACTTAAATTAGTTATAGATAGCTATCCATACTGTCATATTGTACAGTCATGAAGGCCAGGAAACTACGTGTATTTACTCAAAAAATTTATTTATTTTTCCATAAAGGTGAAAAGGATCTCAGAGTTGGTGAAACAGTGAACAAAAAGGCTATCAAACACAGCGAGGAAAAGCCTAGAATTCGGGAATCTGTTCAAGGACCTTCTCCAAGTCACTCTCATGATCATGTCGATGGACACACGAAACCTGTGGATGCAGTGTTTAAATCTCTGATTTTTGGTGAACTTCCAAATGATTCTTCTGTGAAACGTGAAAAGGACGCATATATACATGGAAGTAACAGGGCTGGTAATAGGAACAATCTCTCTTTGGACTTAACGCATACGGGAGGGAGAAGGGTTGTGCGAAGGTACTCATCCAAAAAAGAAGAGAAAGTTACCACCGGAAATGGATGGTCTCAGCATACAAGATACGTCCGCCAGGTGTCAGTGTACAGTGACATTGAGATTGATGGCCATGGAGACGAAATTGATTCCCCCAAAACGACAGACAACCACAAAAAAGGTGAGCGGTGTCCCAAAGCACTTTCCTAATTTGAAACTTCAAACTTACTGATTTAAACTGAGAAACATATCTATATAGTGATTACTAGTACTTGCATCGTTCTTGAATTGACAAAGATCAAAGGTTTAATTTGTAGTAACACAACTGCATATCCTTAAAATTTTGTAGATGACCGTCCGTTTGAAGAGCTTTCAGCAGAGGAAAGAGAACATAGAATATCAGAGGTTGCAGACCGACTTAAGTTTATTGGGGACAAGGCAGTAGAAAGGTATAACACCGAGAGTTCGTCATCAGCAGTGGAATCACCCCAGGCGGAGGCCGGAGGTCACAGCGCAAGTAAGTCCTCTATATAGCTGCATTTCTTCAGAATTTAACTAAATTAAAAGGCTTGGAGAATTTTTTCTTAAGTTACTGAAAACATTCTTAATTTTCAGATGATCAACTTGTGCAACAACTCATTGCAGAATTTCGCCGAGAAGGAGATCGATTCTCCCGAGATGTAAGTTTTGGAGATTTTCTACTAGTATAGATTTTGACTTTCACTTGTAATGTTTCTGCATTTATTGAATTGTAACCCTAATTTAACAGTTTAAAAACTTACCGTCATTGACCTTTTTCAGTTCAACCTTGGCTCACTCACTCCTGTTGTGCTAGACATTGCCAGACAGCACACCTACACACAGTTCAAAAAGGTCATTCATTCGTCCCTACACAACACCATTGGCTGGGATCAGATCGCGCTCTATTTTTATCTGACCAGGACGGCGGTCCACGTGGCCAAGGGAAGTGTTGGTCTTGCTCAGATGGCTTACGACTACTTCAAGGAGACGTACTCCGGCTGGGTAGAGGATCGGGGTGGATGGGTAAGTCTGGTTAAAATGCTATTGGACATATCTTTATTTTAGTTTCTCTTTTAAAAAAATCTTGAAGATATAGATCATCCTCTATTTATGTTTTCTGTATATGAGTCTACGCAAAAGGAATTTTCCCCCCAAACTTTAAGCGTCATTCTTTTTTGTAGGAAACGATGTTGGAAGAAACAGACTGCGAACTGGATTAGTTTTTTTTTCGTGATGACGTCATAGCTGAAGAAAAACCTAGCTAGTTACAGTGTATGTGATACCGGGCAAACATCGACATTCCGTCCTTTAAGGACTTGTGAAATCCATTTTCATTTCATATTTTTCTTATTGATCTCATTTTCTTTTATATTATGGGTAAATCCAGAACATGCCAGTGCCAAAAGTCGATCATGTGATGGTTAAAATTAGTCACGTGACCTGCTTTAGAGAGAAAATATGTTGTATCCTGGTGCAATATTTATGTTTTTTGTTTGTTTTCATTGTACATGTGTTCTTCTTTACAATAAAATTGGTACAATAACCCATTCAGATTATGTTTTATTTATAGAAATCTATTCTAAACATTTTATTGGAGTTGGTCGAGCTTCCGGTCAGGTATTCATAAACCCTAGGCCTGGAACAATGAAAACTTGATTTTTGTTTTTGCCTTTTGGACGCTTATTCTGATTACCGCGTGGTGCAGTGGTAAAGGGTTAACTCTAGAGAGTAAATGGCTGTGGGATAGGAGACTGGTCTTAAAATGAGACCGTATAAACCAAGGTCTAGTGTCATAGTAACTGTTGGCACGAAAAAGATCCCTCCCTGCTCAATGGCCCTAATTGCCGAGTATAGGACAAAATTTGCAGCTCTCCACCGGCAAATGGTGACGTCTCAATATTAGGGAAAATTCTCGAGAGGGACATTAAACAACAGACAAAAAAAAAAACTTATCATCCTAACTTATATGTATTCTGCAAATTGCATGCCGATTTGAATCTATAGATAAATGATCATGTTTTATACTGTACATGTATATTATTTATGTAACATATGCAGATAACTAACAGTATTCAAGATCAAAAGTCCATAAAACAAAATACAAAACAAGAGCAGAGCAAACGCAGACCTCAGTCCAAAAACATCAGAGGTGGAATCAGGTGCCATGGAGGAGTTAGCATCCCCTACCGACCGGTCACATCCGCCGTGTGCTCCTTTTCATGATCGGGAAATAACAGAGAAAAATCCGTTCTGTGTATAAATAATGGACTAACAGTTAGTATGAAAAACGTCGGCCAGCATTTGACTCAATGATAAATCATAGACTTTGTATTTGCTGACAAGGTCATTGTATCGACCATAGAACTTACGAAATGATGACTTTAAACGAGAGTGCCGATATTCTTATTTCATCAACTTGTTTGTCAATAATTTACCTCATTTTAGAAACTGTTCATATGTAGAGCGTGCTCTTGCGAATTTAATCTGCTGAGCATGGTATATTGCTGCATAAGTAAGGGAAGTTGACAATTGAAAAGTTCAAATCATCATGTTTATCATTAAGCTTGATTGTTAGATTACAATTAACGTCTTTTTCAAGTAAAATATCCAAAATATGGTATAGATGTGTCAGACACACAAGCTGACAGCACCGTTTTAAAAAAAGATTTCTGTGAAAATAAAAAAAGTAATATACATGTTAATGATGCATGCGCAATAATTCTTTTTTTAAATTTAAACACTTTGTCTAAAATCTTTCGACGGCGTTGGGTGAAAAAGACTTCTCCAACTTTTCGGTTATATTTTTTTTTTGTTTTTGGGAAATCTTCAGTGATTAACTTGACCGGGGGAAGGGTTCTTTGAAAAACTTTTCATGTTTTGATCTAAAATTACAACAAATAACATAACTAGGAAAATTTTGGGGCATCCCCTAGCCCCCTGTGCTTTCGTACCCATTATAACAGAAAATGAAAATAAAATACGTTTTGTTGAACATTTATAATTACCGTATAGAAAATCCGTAATCGGTAAGTTCCTATTTATATTTTTTGGCACATTGCCACTGTCTTTTATAATGAAATGTATATTATATACATCACGTTTGATAAGGGTGTCCGCAATTAAACACCTGTCATTTGCAATCTTAGTAGTACATGTACTACCTTTAAACGCTATGCACAACGCAGGTTTTGAGATCCAAATTTCCCCAATAATATTTAACTTTTTTTCCACCTCTGATGTTTATTCGCTTTGCTCCTGTATGGTGTCCGGATAGGGCCATTTGCGTTCGCGCGAGATCGCTTTCAGATAAACGCGCCGTCGCGCTAACACACAAAACGCCGTCGCGCTAACACAACTTTGCACAACGCGCCGTCGCGCTAACACACAACACGCCGTCGCGCTAACGCAACTTTGCACAACGCGCCGTCGCGCTAACACACAACACGCCAACACAACTTTGCACAACGCGCCGTCGCGCTAACACACAACACGCCGTCGCGCTAACGCAACTTTGCACAACGCACCGTCGCGCTAACGCAACTTTGCACAACGCGCCGTCGCGCTAACACACAACACGCCGTCGCGCTAACACAACTTTGCACAACACGCCGTCGCGCTAACGTAACTCTGCAAGTTTCACAGTCTAGTAGAAAGTCGTGTACGGAAATATAAGACTGCGCATGCTACGGAAGCGTATTTGGGCCGCAGCAGTATTTTTACAAAATTTGTTATAATAAATTATTAATTTGTTAAAATAAATTAGTAATTTGTTAAAACAAATTATCAAGTTGTTAAAATAAATTAGTAATTTGTTAAAACAAATTAGTAATTTGTTAAATTAAATTAGTAATTTGTTAAAACAAATTATCAATTTGTTCAAACAAATTATCAATTTGTTAAAACAAATTATCAGTTTGTTTAAACAAATTAATAATTTTTTATAACAAATAAAAAAAAAATACTGCTGCGGCCCTAATACGCTTCCGTACCTTTAAGATTCCCAAGACCAATCTCATCCAGAATTTCATCCATTGTATGGTTAAGCATGCGCAATCTTATATTTCCGGACACGAGTTCCTACTAGACTGTGAAACTTGCAAAGTTGCGTTTGCGCAACGGCGTGTTGTGCAAAGTTGTGTTAGTGCGACGGCGTGTTGTGCGTAAGGGTGACGGCGCGTTGTGTGTTAGCGCGACGACGCATTGTGCAAAGTTGTGTTAGCGTGACAGCATGTTGTGCAAAGTTGTGTTAGCGCGACGGCGTGTTGTGTGTTAGCGCGACAGCGCGTTGTGCAAAGTTATGTTAGCGTGACGGCGTGTTGTGCAAAGATGCGTTGGCGCGATGGCGTGTTGTGCAAAGTTGCGTTAGCGCGACAGCGTGTTGTGTGTTAGCACGATGTCTCGTTTATCTGAAAGCGATGTCGCGCTAACGCAAATGGCCCTATCCGGACACCATACTCCTGACTTTTATTGCTTCAATGGACCGTTCACGAACATGGTTACAGTGTATATATCATATGTATTTTTATCTCATTTTATTTTGCCTCGTTCTCCATCTTAAATTGGGGAGAAAATCGAAACTTAAAGGGGCATGGACAGTTTCCACAGATTTTTTTTTTTCAATTTTAATGTTTACAATTAAGGTAATTTTTGGAGGGTTCTAAACTACAGTAAGAAAAATAGCAACATTCATGTCTGGTGCATTATCTTTCTACAGTGAAATGGTTTTGATTGACTGTATGTTATTTACCGTCCCTCTCAAGAATTTTTCACTCATATGGAGACACCACCAAGTTTCAAGTCACTTTTAAAAGTATTTAGATGTATGTGTAGTCACTCTCTAACAATGCCAAGTATAACTTAGTGAGTTTGCTTACAGTACCACTAGTCATAAACTTATTACAAACAGGATACTACAATGTATACTTGAGGAATTTATTATATCGAAATTTTCTGAGAAGTAACCTTTCTCCATGTAAAATCTCTTGTTCAAGCTTCAATGTCCAATAATAAAATGCATTTTTAAATTAAGAGTTAACAAGAGATGTTTGTAAAACACTTATGCCCCCCTCCCCCACAAATTGGAATTTTTCCAAGTCCGAAAGGGCATAACTCAGTCAATTATGGTGCAATCACACCCAAAACAGAACTTGACCAAGATATTCATCTGACTAATCTGTATACTAAATTCCATTTCAATATGTGCAACCGCTCCGAAGAAAATGAACGGAAACTGCAAATAATTGGAATTTTTCTATGTGCAAGGGGCATAAATCGGTCAAAAATGGTGCGATCATACCCAAAACAGAACTTGACCTAGATATTCATATGACTAATCAGTATACTAAATTCCATTTCAATATGTGCAACCTCTTCAAAGAAAATGAATGGAAACTGCAAATAATTGGAATTTTCTAAGTCCAAGGGGCATAACTCTGTCAATTATGGTGCGATCGTACCCAAAACAGAACTTGACCTAGATATTCATCTGACTAATCTGTATACTAAATTCCATTTCAATGTGTGCAATCTCTCCAAAGAAAATGAACAGAAACTGCAAATAATTAGAATTTTCTGAGTCCAAGGGGCATAACTCTATCAATTATGGTGCGATCGTACCCAAAACAGAACTTGACCTAGATATTCATCTGACTTATCTGTATACTAAATTCCATTTCAATATGTGCAACCGCTCCGAAGAAAATGAACGGAAACTGCAAATAATTGGAATTTTTCTATGTGCAAGGGGCATAAATCGGTCAAAAATGGTGCGATCATACCCAAAACAGAACTTGACCTAGATATTCATATGACTAATCTGTATACTAAATTCCATTTCAATATGTGCAACCTCTTCAAAGAAAATGAATGGAAACTGCAAATATTTGGAATTTTCTAAGTCCAAGGGGCATAACTCTGTCAATTATGGTGCGATCGTACCCAAAACAGAACTTGACCTAGATATTCATATGACTAATCTGTATACTAAATTCCATTTCAATGTGTGCAATCTCTCCAAAGAAAATGAACAGAAACTGCAAGTAATTAGAATTTTCTGAGTCCAAGGGGCATAACTCTATCAATTATGGTGCTGACTTGATCTCTGTATACTAAATTCCATTTCAATGTGTGCAATCTCTCCAAAGAAAATGAACGGAAACTGCAAATGGTTGGAATTTTTCTAAGTCCAAGAGGCATAACTCTGTCAATTTTGGTGCGATCATATCCAAGACAGAACTTGACCTAGATATTCATCTGATATGCCTGTATACCAAATTTCATTTCAGTATGTGCAACTGTTGTGAAGAAAATGAACGGAAACTAAATGGACCGACAGACAGCAGCAAAGTAATATGCCCTCCCTTCTTCGAAGGGGGGCATAAAAATATGGAAATAAAAAAGGTAACATTCAATGTCTGACTTCAACATAAATGAAAATTTACTTAAATAATTGTATGCAGTAATTTTGTCTTCATGCAGTAAGTTTAATGCCGGACTAATATCGAGGTCTGAAAATACCTTAATAGTACTGACAAACAACCATATAAAAATCAACAATTTATTTACAAAATGCATGATATACTCAATAAGTTTACTTTTACTGGTAGAAAAATTTCCTTTTAATTTATTAATTTGTTAATACTGAGCTGATTAATGTTTAACTTAATAGGCTGGTGCATTTACATCAGATTTGCAAACAAAAAAAAAATCCACTTGTCCAAAGGGTAATTTTACCAGAATATAATTCAAACGATCCAAAATTTAGAGGCAATATATTTCTCACATATTAAATGTACTTATACATGAAAAAAAAGAATAGCATTCAAATAATATCAAACATGTGGAAAAGTGTTAATTCAACAACAATTATAAATGCCAGCATTCCATATAATCTTTCCCTTCGCAGTCTTTCCTTGTTGTAACCGTTGTTGCCTTGGTAACTAGGCAGTTGCAGTCGCCTGGTCACCTTGGTTTTTCAGCTTGTAATCATTTAACGCTGCTTTGATGGCATCCTCTGCCAACACTAAAACAGAAATATATGTATTGCATGACGGTGTAAACTTAATTCACTTAACAAGAAACATAACTCCTCCTAATGATTTTCAGTTCAGCATATTCAATACTTTGCTTTAAAGTAAAATTACATAATGCTATGTTATTCTTTGATATTTAGAATTAGCAAAAACGTGTAAACTTGGGTCAAACATTATAAAATGGAAATAACATTCTTTTCCTTTGAATTCCTTATCTTAAATTATACTGATGTTCAGGAAATGTTCAATCCATTATAATTTATAAATTAATATGCATATTATTTCCTGGTTTTTCATAAAGCAGGAAACGGAATACATTCAAAGAAATTTCTTTTTTTAACAAGAGTAGTTTTGTATTAAGCAGCGGTGTTCAAAAGTTAAAAATTTAAAAAAAAAAAGGAAAAAGAAAAGACTGAATGCATATTTAAATAAATTTCAGGAAAAAACCTACTAGAGCAGTGAAGCTTCACAGGTGGTAAGCACAGCTCTTTAGCAATATCAGTGTTTTTGATCTTGACTGCATCATCCAGCTGTTAAAATAAAAAAAAAATCCATGACAATGTATCAATCTTAAAATATATGTTAATATCATATTTATATCATCAATAGTAAGTTTAACTTACAGATGAATTCAATAGTGTTTTTGATTTTTCAACCCATAATTCAGACTGATGTTTCACATAATTATACATGTATATTAATGGACATGCAAACTTGCCCTTGCATTGAAACAAAGTTTCACAAAGATACCGACTCTTGCATGAAACTTTAAAGATATACAAAGAAGGAAGTACAAGAGACCAGACCACAACAAAAACCATGCCCCCTGTATCGCTAGTCAGGTGTTCTACTGAGCTGTCTGGCTGACAATGACTGAATTTTTAACTGTATTTACAACATGTCATGACTTTAAAGTAAAATGACAGCTTGTCAAATTGACAATTAAATTGAATACAAATGTCTTCAGACATATACATTTAATAGGTAAACAATGCTTTGTAAATTAGGACTTCATACATGTACTGCAAGCCGTCATGTCATGAAGTATACATGTAAAATTTTTCTATGTGCTGAGGACAGATTACGTTTTTGTAACTATTCATGCTCAAGTCAACTGGGGCTTACCTCCAGGTTACGGATTTGTGATTTATGAAATCATTTCACAAAAAATCATACCTTTTTCCCTTTGATCCATTCTGTAGCTAATGAGCTGGAGGCAATTGCTGATCCACATCCAAAGGTTTTAAATTTGGCATCAACGATTTTACCATTTTCATCAACTTTAATCTATAATTGTAAACAATCTTATATAAAAACACCATATAAACATGGTATTGATACTTACGGAATACACAAGTATGTTTAGATCTGTATCATAGATCTGTATAAATGGTATAGAGAAATTATGGTCGAAGGTCCTAAATTCGACAGGGTCCGAATTTCGACGGTTTTGTTATTTTGTTTATATTTGGTTCGTTCTCGCGAGATCAGGCTGGTCTGTGTAAACATAGTACCCCAGTAGACTTGCGATCATATTACCTACATCATGGATGAAAATGCATTTCAGACAGGAAAGTATTCATTTCATATAGTTTTAGACGAAAAAAATGTCTGCCTTGCCTAAAATCACTTTTTGATACAAATATGAAATCTGATTGCTGGTTTTTGATTGCTACAAATAACTTGACAAAATGCCGTCTGCATAGACTGACAATTCAGTAATGAAATTCACGCGACAAACTTTTGGAAAACAAGGCCAAGCCAATTTTATTTTGAAGTTATCAGAACTATATTTTTTAAAAAGAAAATAATGAATTAATCATATTTTGAATTAAAATCACAGTGATTAAGTGTGTTGTTATACTTAAATTTTAATGATTTGTTGGTAATCATTTGCAATTTCCTGAAAGTTAATGTATATTTTTCTTTTTTTGAAAATACTTTTTTCCCTTTTTATACTAAAAGCACTACACTGAATCTTTACACAGGAAATATTTCAGTGCTTAGAATATTATGGGTTTTTTTTTCTTTTAAAATTTTCCACCATTTCTACTTTTTGAAACAAAATTCTTTCATTCTCTACTTACATTAAAAAGTACAAAAAATAATATTTAATAATGGTATTATATGAAAAAAAAAAAATAATAAAATTAAAAAAATAAATAAATAAAAAAATAATAAGATGCTGTTTGTTTTAGCTTAACTATTATTTATATTTGTTGGCTGGACCTATAAAAAGACATCAAAGAACATTTTGTTCACGCCTATTGGTGTGTATATTGGAAGTTTACGCCACAAGAAATTTTCAACAGTGACATAATTATATTCACAACATGGGCCCAGTATGATGGAACGAAGAATAGGGTGCCTTGTCAATATTGAGTCACCTGAAATACTGTTGCAGCACACAAGTTCTCTACCTACTATGACTACTGAGTAATTTCTCTGTCCTAATTGCATTGAGTATTGATAAAATGATGAAATTAAATGTTAGATTTACAACTATTGCCATTAATTAACATTATATTGCAAAAAAAATAATCGAATTTTATTTCTACTAAAAATTTGTTTTGCTTGGCCTTCCTGATTGCTTGCATATCAATCGATGACGTAACCGTCGAAATTAGGACCCGGTAATGGCTGCGCCCATTGTTTATATGTCACTTTTGAACTCATCACCAATAGAAGTAGAGAAGACGAATTGGATAAATCTTTACACAGGAAAGAATACAATTTGAATGATGAATTTACTGCTCAATTTATTTCAATGGATTCTTGTTTACATAAAATAAAATATTGCAACACATTGAAAGACTGTCGAAATATGGGCACACGAGGGTACATTTAAAACATTGTGTTAAAGCCAGTGTTACAGGTTACTATCTTTCCTCATGTTTACAGAAACAAGAATACACAACAGCCAACATTTTCCACAACAGATGATAACAAAGGTATCGAGTAAATGTTGACCATTCAATATCATGAATATATATCCTTTTACTGAAACCAGGTGTACAGTTACGTAACATTCATTTTTCTCTTACTTGAAGCTTCATTACATCACCACATGCGGGAGCCCCGACAAGACCAGTGCCAACATTTTTATCTTTCTTGTCCATGGAACCAACATTCCTAGGATTTTCATAATGATCGATCACCTAGATCAGTAAATAAAAATAAAATCTTAACACTGCTGAGAAAATTCGAAAGTAAACAGTGTTTTGTGAAACGGAATTAACAAAATGCGTAATAGGGCCTAGATCAAGCTTAAATTTTAACATGACTTACATTCTTGTGATACAGGGAAACAGACGATGCAATATTTGCCTCGAAAGACGGCTTCAAAAGCCTTGTTGTTGCACGAAATAACGCCATTTCACATGTTTTGATTATGACCTTGGAACTCAAAAAATAAGCCTCTTACGCAAATGTATAGTGCATCATTTTTGAACCAAAATGAGAAATCTTGTTACAATTTAACTTTAAAAAGATTTATTTGAAGTAATACAACTCAAAAACTGAAAAAAAATAAAATATATTCATTCTTTAATGAAACCTAATCTTCAAGTGCGTAGTAATATTCATAGAAACTGAAAGTAGGCTAAAAACAAATGAAGTGCTCTCTTACGATTCCAGTTTGACGATTTTTCTTCAGCGATGTAACAAATCGATTTTGTCTGATTTTTATCTTTTAGTGGGAAATGGAAGAACATAACGGCATTCGTTTTATTCAAGATACAATGACATAAATAGACTCCAGTCATCAATCATGCATTGTCATAAAAAATAACACTGTGTAAAATGAAAGTAGATAAAACAATTCGGTTCTTTAGATGGCAAAAATACAAGTAAATATAAAATTTAGCTCATCCTCATCGTGTCCATTAGAAGTAAGCAGAGATTCATCAGTCAGAGAAATAAAGAGTTGTATAAGTGACAAGACAGGGATTCCTAAATCAGATCTTCGCCTGATTTTGGCAGGAAAACTTCTGCAGGATGGACAATCTGTCAGTGTAAGTCACACAATAAAGGTGTCATTCTGAAAAAATCATGAAGAGTTTACATTTTTTTTTATTACTGAAATATAGTTTTTCCCCAATTTTTATCAAGATACCAAATTATATAAATTTATATATGGTGTCAGTGCATGGGAAAGTTGGAAAGGGGTTGGGGTAGGGGATAATCTTGCTTATAAATCTAACAATTGGTTGATTAATTTGCATTAACTCTGGTCCAGGTAGACAACATGCATGTATATCGGATAATGTATTGGAATTATTTATTTTACCTGTTTTACTTATAGTGCATGTTTATATATGTACATTTACACTTTCTTGCATTAGGAGCTAGGTCTTGGAAACCACACAACATTACATGCGTTTCAACAAAAACAGGCCCCACTGCTAGAAGTTAGAACTGGCAGTGGACTGAATCAGTTCAGGTCTCAGGCTACAGCTGAGTCAGGTACATGTAAGTATGATGTTAAACATGTTAATTGTGTTAAAAGTTTTATGAGTTTATAAGATGACATGATGTACATGAAGTCAATATATTGTATGATTAATCTGCAGTAATTACCTTTTAAGATTCTTTGTATTAAGGGCTTGTTGTATGGTAAATTAGCACCATGATGTCAAATCACATTTCTCAAACTAATTCGAAATTGTCAAAATAGTTGATTAAATACAGACCAAAGGGAAATGAATTTATAAAAAATAATACATGGCTGTGTAGATCTCCATTTTAATGAACTGATAAGTTTTAGTAAAATGTAGATTAATTATATGCATGCAACATTAATTTTTCCAGCACACCCATACCAGTTCTATGTATACTGTAAGAAATGTACTGCCCTTCAACCAGGAAAGTTAAGAGTGGTGTGTGGAAAATGTCTCCAAGGCAATATTATCCTCCATCAGGTCAGTCACAGAGAAATTGTGTACCCTTCCTCAATTCAAGTCTCATTTTTTTCATCACACAAAATATGCGTTCACCGATTCCCCCTCCTTTTGTTTACTGGGACAAGTAATATTTACTCTAGACACAAATATTTGTGGGGATCAAATTTCGTCAA